AGGGTTTAGGGTGTAGGATTCAATGTTTAGGGACTAGGATCATAATAATTCCTCAGCCCTTATTCTTACATAAGCCTCAAGCCCTATGACCTGAAACTTTCAAGCCTAAACTCCAAAAGCCCAAGCCTTCGACGTTCTAAATCCCCAAACCTTCAAATATGAATCCTTGTAGATTTCTGAGGACTTTCCAACTTTTTGCGATAGGGGAAACCTCAGCCGTACACCCCCTGACTCGTGGAAGGCACTGGCGCGTGGCCGGTTGCCGGAAGCCATTATCCACAGGCGTGCATGAGGATTCAACCCTACCTGTAACTCCATTTGCCTAGGTGCTTATGGGTTGTAATGGCAAGCCAAAGGAACAGAACATAAACAACGAAATAACACGGGGACATATAGGGGTGTATGGGGGTTATGTAACCCCCATTACCTACAGTGTACGTAAAGGCTTTTACCTAATAGTTAGGGGGCAACCACTACAATAGAAAGGGTGCTCGGTTTTCGGGTGTTGAGGAATGGAGTGTCAAACAGGGACAACTAGATCAAAACTGAGACGTAAATTGCAGTTACCCAAGTTGTTGTTGCTTAGGTTGGGCTTATCTGAAGTCTGATGTTAATTTGTTGATTGTTGTGTTTTTTGAGTTCGGGCCCCACACCAGAGATTGACATAATATGGCTTCCTTTGCATTTCCGTCGTTCCAGTCATTGCCTGAAATGTTCTGACTACCCTAGACCCTAAACTCGAATTCAAATCCCAGAGCCCATTTGGAAAGTCTAGTGGCCCAAACTCATGGGGAACTTCATACAAAAGTGCGCGGGGTTTGGGGTAAACTCGACTATAATAACTGCCGACGGGCTTGTCAGCTAAAGGCGTAAACTGCGAGACGTAAGGTGTAGGGATTCACGTTTTGGATTCGGGGTTAGTGCATTGGCTCGCCTACAGTTTAGGATCTATGGGATTCAGGGGTCAAATTTGAAAGCAAACAAGTCCGGCCAAAAGGTAGGCGTACCAACATCTCAGGGTACAGAGCCCGTTGTTCACCCCAGAAGACAAGAACCCACAATTGGGCTTGACGCATTAGCCTTAATAAGGCTTAATATTCCCGACTACTTCCTAATAAGGCAAAATCTCAGCTTTTGAATAAACTCCTACAGAATCCCAGCTTCCAATGTTGTTTCCATTTCTCGTCCATTGAACTCTCCCTTACTGGGTAGCATCCCTTAACCCTAAACCCTATAGTAGCCCCATGATTTGGTGGCGTGCAAACTCGTGACATGGAGCTTGAGCTCCCGCTGCAAAGCCAGCTTACACGCAGTAGCTGGCAAGTCTGAGTATGATTTTTACGGTGTAGGGTATTACCTGAACACCAAAAACGTATGTAGAACAATCGGTGGAATTCAAAGCTGCCGTGAAGAAGCCCGCTTATGGCGCAAAGTGCCGTTTGCTGGACAAGGCGTCTCCAGACATGCCAACGTTGCTGCAACAGCGTCAGCATTTGCAGCCAAAAGTTCGTGCTCGCTGCGGAAGCACACGGCCTGTCCAATTGCCTGGTTGCCGATCGCTTGCTGTGCTTCGCCCGCAAGTGCCACGTGAACAGTCAACCCAAACTGCCCGCCCACATGTCGCATAATTAGTTCTAATAACGGGTACCAAGAAGTGATCCGCCCGTTTTCCACCTCCCTCAGGTTGCATGCGTTAGAGACTTCACGCTAGCTAGGCGAAGTGTCTGATGCACGACCGGGCGCTGCAAAACCAAATTTCAAATTAATCATCGACGGTCCTGTAAGACAAAGGTTAAGACATTGATGTTGCTTTTTGCGTGGCACCCTTGAAAACCACCACCTTTGCCCTGACACTCCATGCAGCAAGATGCAGTTACATAAAATATTTGCCAATGACGAACGCATTGTCAGCTCGCGCCAGCTTGCTAGAAAATCCGCAGGCACTACACCCAAAAGTGTAACTTTTTGAAAAAAATCAGGCGTTCCCTTGTAGTGGATCCCCCCAGGGGTCTGGGTTACTATGTCTCCTTGACTTGCCAAGTACACACCAAAGCTTGAATGACAAAGGCCATTGGACTATCACTGAAGTATTATAGAAGCCTAATGATTTTTCAATGTCATGGTTCTAGTGTCTTTGTGTAATAGTTGCAGAGGGTACCTCACATGGACCTCAAAAGCATGTTGGAAAAATGTGGGGCACTAAGTTATAACTTGGGTTTTAAAGTAACGTAGAAAGAGGACAAGTATAGCTTTAGGTTCCATATAAGTTATAGTTGCTGGGATTTATGAGATAACTTACAGTAAACGCTACACCCTTATAAGTATAGCTATGTAGCCAAACCCTAAACCCTAAACCACGTAGCCCCTATAACGGCCGTGTTCATGCATCTGCTGAAATTGAAATTCTGGCCTGACATAGGGGAGTTTCCAAAAACTACGGTGGATAAGGGTTTAGGGGTTGCATGCTAAGTTTCCAGCATGACCCAAAGTGCCTTATACCTGAGGAATTATGGGAGTTTTGTATGTTCATGCGCATGCAGGGTTTTTAGTTTCCACAGTAGGGGTTCCTGGTTCTTAAAATAAGGATCAGAACAAATTTGGGTCTACCATAGAGCTCCTTTTTTTTATGGAACCCGCCCACATTGCGGCCTCATAACTTGGCTCATGGCTTTTGGAGTTGGGGTCTATAAGGTCTGGTGTTTCAAGATTGTGTTTATGGCTTTGCCCAAACTCCTGCCATGTAGAGCTTTTGCAGGTAGATTACTTTACATTCCTGACCAAAAGATCATAACAAACCCCGAGGAGAACTACATAGGAGCCCTAATCCCTAGGCCCTAGACGCTCAATCCTGAGATTTGGATGTTGGAATTTTCAACTGTGGTTTGCAGGCCCAAAGTGGCTTTCCCGATGCCCGCCCTGAAGTTTCTCGGAGGTTTTGAAATAAAGGGACTTTAATGGGAACCCCAATCAGGGAACCCTAAGAATATATAGGAATATAGTAGAATATGAGGACCCTGGTAGGTATATTCCTATTATATTCCTACTATATTCTTGGGGTTCCCTGTTTGGGGTTCCCATTACAGTCCCCTTATGAAAGGGCTCTCCTTGCATGATCAACTTGAGGGTTTTGATCCACTCGAGGGTTTTGATCAACTTGAGGGTTTGATCAACTTGAGGGTTTCGTCCTGTGGTTCAGGGCCCGGTTATGTACCTTGCTGAGTTGGGGCTTTCCCAAAATTAGGGGTACCTTTTTGTGGGTCCCCATGATAAGGACTCTAGCATATTGGGGTCTATATTGGGGTTCCCTTAATTCTGGGAAACTACCATTTTTAGTTTGTAGGTGCCGTAAACCCTGAGCCCTAAACCCCTAAACCTAAACCGTAAAGGCGCATTAGTGCAAATGTGTTTAGGGATTGCTGATTGAAGCAGTGTAACGTATTCTAAAAGTGACCGGGTACCCTTGAGGTATGAGGTATCCCCGTAGGTGGACCCCCACCCAGTAGCAAGGACCATAGCATTCGTATGATTAGGGCTTAGGGTTTCGGGTTGTATGCCCCTGTAATGCCCATACACTCCAGAAAGCCCCGTAAGCGCAGAACCCTAAACACTAAACCCTGAACCCTAAACCCTGAGCTCTAAATCCTAGACCCTAAACTCTACCCCTAAGGGTCCAAGGACCCAAACAATAGGGCTTGAGGTCCCAAATACCATTAATATTATAGTATTTGGGCCCTAATACTTTGTTATTTGGGTCCTCGGACCCTAAACTCCACATGTCACCCTGCAACACCCATCGGCTAGCTACCCAGGGTGCTTCCAAAAGGCGAGTCATGCTCACCCGAAGCTCTGACTACCCGTAGGGATAGGGTTTAGGGTTTAAGGTTTAGGGTTTAGGGTTCAGGATTTAGGGTTTAGTGTTAGGGATTCGGGTTCAGGATTTAGGGCTTAGGGCTTGGGATAAGGAATGGGCAAGAACATGGAATTATCATTATCATATATGCTGTTGATGAAAGTGTGCATAAGCATAAGCCTTTGAATCCTAGATTTGTTTGGTAGATTAAGGGTTCTAAGTGGTGCAGGTTTTGTTCCATAAGCAATATCGTTGGGGCTTCTGTATAAACTTCTATGAGGACCCATGTCTTCATTCCAGACGTAAGCTCCAACATTGAGCGTCCAAGAGAGAGGATGTCTTGCATTTTCGAGGAGACTTAACAAGTCTTACTAAGTACGCGGTATACTCGTGATGTTTACAGGCTGAATAATAGCCTCATTATTCACGTCTTATGTCCCGCTGGCCCCCAACCCTAAATACTTGTTATGTCCCCCTGACAAGAATCCAAGTCAGTAAATCTGTTTACTAATTCCGCCTGACTCTCCAAGCAAAGGTTCGTGCGCGGGGAGTTCTTGGACTTTGCGAGATCAGTTCTCTGCTCGTCTGCCGCGCAGACCCGAGGCCCCATGCCGCTGGGGTGTACACAGGCTTTCCTTCGCTGTGGGTTTAGCATTGCAGGTTTCGGGATTCAGTCTTGGCTTGTCTAAGTTGTTTTACTTAGATCTGAACGTATAGGGCTCAGGGTGATGCGTCTAGAGCTCATTTTTTAGGGATCAGAGTTGTTCGGGTTTACAACGTGGCTCCCCAAATCCAGAAGCTAAACCCAAAAGAGTCCCCAAGAGGACACCTACAACCGCTTTACGATACCCAGTTTATCCCATGGGTCCGTTAGGTTCCCCACAATTCGTGGGATTCCCATGTAATTAAGTTGTAGTCTAAACTCCTATATTCCTCTTTATAAGCCCTGTAACAATCCTCTGCAGAACCCCCTACATTACTCCCCTTAAGGAGTTCAGACTATAGCCCATGTGGGCCGGGGTTTTGGGTGGATTCCGAGTAGATGGATTTTAGTGGCAGGTGGTTTTGTCCAGTTTTGAGTGTCATCCAGCTGCGGATAGCTTTTAACGGCTTCCCAACTGCTGCCTTGGAGGTTACTGTACCCTCTTCAACTTTCCAACTTACCTAATCCCTCTAATCCCTAAACCCCAAACCCCAAACCCTATACTAGCACGAGCGCCATACCACTTTATTCTTCGAGTTTCTGTTTTAAAGCATCGACAAAACCGGCATGCCCCAAGCCCCACAATCTACAGGGTGCTGCTGTAGGGTGTGGGGTTTAGGCTGCTGCCCCAGTCACATAACTTTGTTCATAATTCCGAAAACCTATAAGTTTTTAGGACTTGTAACTCTAATTGGCCCTCTGTATAAGTTATTTCTAACCCAAATTACA